CTAGTTTTAGTCATCCTAAAACGCTTCATGCTATTTTTATTCTTCTACTGATATCACAGAGTTTGTTCTCCGTTTCACCGAGTAACTGTCGACGTAGTTTTGTCTTCTAGCCTAGGTGGTCTGCTTCGAAATCGAAAGGTGCCAAGTTCGATTCCGCTCGAGGACAATCTGTCTGATTCATAAATTCCCTTGAGCAAGAAATTTACCACTCATTGCTTCAGACCTGGGTTGCTCAGTCGATGGAGCGTCGAATTCACAACCAATAGATCCCGAGTTCAAGCCCCGGTCAAGATCACTATTTCTTCTTCCTTCTGAGGTTGATTAATTCGTACTTCTCTTTGGAGAGTACAGACTGGAGAGTACAGACTACGTGGCATCTTTCCCACATGCCTTAAAATAGGCACTCCTGGTTGATGGCATAGAAACGGAGATCAGCGCCGTCAATCAACTTCATGAAAAGATTGGTGCCAAAATGACCCAGTCATGAATGTGAAGGAAGATTGATATTCCAGCGGTGACTAACTTTCAGTTTTCACTGATTCTGATTCACCGAAAGCTCTGCGTAGAGTCGCGTATTTGATTAACATAATCTAAGTTTTCTTTCGGTCTATTTTCAATGCTGTTTTGTTGCTAGCATTCTTCGGCTCCTTGAATTTTCTCTGGAGTTCTAGAGTCCTTGTGAAGATTGGAGTATCCTTGACAAGCCCAGGTGGCTAAGGCTAAGGTAGTGTCCATTTATGTTATGTCTTTGGTTTTGCAAATGAAGTGTCCTGAAAACTTCCGCTAGGACTGTTGTTAATAAATTCGGTGATGATGATTTACTTTATTGGACTCGTTTTTCAACTTTGCATTTCTGATGTCATGAAGCCTTACCCAAGCACTTGCATTTTTGTGGATCACGCCGACGAAATCTATGTTGTCCGTCCTTCTCAATCTAGTTTTGCTTTCTAATTGTCCAGTGGGGTATTTTGTAAATTTTTCATCCTGTCGTCGCTCCCGTACATGTTCGGAAGGAGGATTTGCCATCGAATTGTGAATGTCCGTTGTGATAACGATTCGAAATGACACTAATGAGACATTTGACGTCACTTCACAGAATTAACTATGGTTCTTTTGTTTGACTTTTCAGTGAATTAAACTCTGAGGACTGAGAATTCATCTCATGTCCGACTTCGCTTTACGCGTTAGCATGATTCAGTTAATGCCCTCAGCTCACTTACAACCTGGAAAAGGCTGAGACACTGAAAATCACAAGCAGTTAAGTTTCGATAAAATCGATATTTAGTAGTTTTCTGTTGACGAAATCCTAAGTGATTAATCTTGGTATTTCAACAAAAGCATAGACTCTATCAAGCGACTGGTAATCGTTTCTTTCTGCACATTTTCTGGACTCTTGCTCATTCATACTTCACCCTTGTAACCCCTAAAATATAGTCAAACTTTAAGCTTCAGGAAGTTCACGCACAATCGCAGAGAACATACTGGTCATTAAATGCCATTGTTATTGACCGAATGAATTGTCAAGCGGTCGGAAATTTTAGTAGTTTTGTATGTATGTACTACCCTGTAGCAAAATGACTGGATCT